ACCTCTGTTCTGGGGACCTCAGGGACACACTGCTCTAGAGAGATCTCTGCCTTTCAAAGGGCACTGTCCTTGCTGCATAGGGCCCACCCTCCCTTGAGCTACTACCCAGAGGTTGTGTGTATGGATGTGGGGTAGGGGTGCTGCTGGAGCAAGAAGCCCCAGCTAGTGAGTCAGAAGATCCAGGGGAGAGTCTGACAGCACCGACATGGCCTGAAGCTCCTTACCCGCTCCAAGACTGTGTTCTCAGCACTCTCAGGATTTGGGAGGAGATAAAATGGAAAACATAAGAGAAGGTGTTCTGCCTCCACAAGGAGCTGCTGTGAACATCAGGGAAGGTGCCAGTTCTAGTAGCAGCAGTCCTGGGCTGGAAAGGAGCAGTATCTAACAGAGTCTTCAGTGCATGTCAGATATTTAACAAACTGTCAGGGCTACAGCATAGGAAACAGCTCAGCCATGTACCCCGCACTCATTACTTTCCACCCCGTTAACATCTCTGCTGCACACATAGTACATGGCAGGAGACAGGTCTGTCTGAGTGGACTGGTGGCAATCAGTTTTGGGGGGACCCTGGATCCTGTTCTACCATTCACGGGCATCAGATGCCACATTTGGGGAAGAACGCAGCATTTCCTAACTGTGTTCCATAGAACTCTAGCGTCCTACAGACTTTTCTCAGCATCCTTTTGGGGCTCATGGTCAAACCTATTAGGAAGATGATAGAGTAAATAGTTATTTTGGCCACAGGACATCTCAAAGAGCCCAGGTTATTGTCTATTGTCTCTCTAAAAGGGGGGGGGGAGAATGCAGGGTTATCCAAGCCTCTTTTTTGTTTGTTTGTTTTTGCATAGGAAACTCTGTCCAAAAACCACACATCAGGGGCAGGGAGATGGCTCAGTAGAATAAGCACTTGCCTGGCAAATGCAAGGGCCTGAGTTCAATCCCCAGTTCTGCCAAAAAAAATAAAAAATAAAAAAATAAACCACACATCATGATCATCCAAGCAGTGTAGGGCAATAGAGCTTTCTGCAGTGATGGGGATACTATGTAACAATTTGGTTCCTATGATGGCCACCAGTCACACTGACACTTTTTTTTTTTAAATGTATTTGGTTGTTACATGGTCTCACTATGCAACTTAGACTCATAGTGATCCTTCTGCTTTCAGCCTCCTTAGTGCTGGGATTACAGGCATGTGTTACTATGCCTGGACCCTGGCCAGCTCAGCCTGCCCTGGGGTTGTGGCTGGTGCAGCATGTGGTGCCGGGGATTGAACCACGGTCCCTGTGCTTGCCTAAGCTTGCCTAAGCAGGTACTTTAGTTTGGGTCCCTGAGCTTGCCTAAGCTTGCCTAAGCAGGTGCTTTAGTCTGCTGAAATATCTCGCAGCACCCCCCCACTGATTTCTGAGCACTTGAAATGTGACTAGTGAGACTGATGAATTTAATTTTGAATTTATTACTTTATTTCATCTTAATGAATTCATATTTAAATTTAAATAATCATAAGTGGCTTGGGGCTGCTGCACTGGTTAATATAAATCTAGAGGAACCCAGTTTGAGAAATCCTTATGCAATGGTGGCAGTTGATTGGGTTGGGAGCTAAGTAACCTGGGCGCAAGTTCTGGCTCTACCACACCAGATATGGGGGCCTAGGCATGTCACACTATTCTCTTGGCCCCAGTTTCCTCATTTGTAAAAGGGGTTAGACTGCTTGCTGAGCTTCCACCGAAGGACTGCCTACAACTCCTGCTGCACACTCCTATGCACCACAGTCCCTGTAAGATCAGATCATTTTACTGTCTTAACTGCTCTGCGCATAGGCCTTGCTTATTCTCTAGGGTCCTGCTGCTCCTTTTCTCCCTCTCTCCCTCCTTTTCTTTCTTCCTTCCTCTCTCCCTCCATTCCTCCCCCTTCCTCCTTCCTTTCCTACTGAGAGTCAGGGCCCTCCCACATGCCAGGCAAGTGCTCTGCTACTGAGTTACATCCAGCTCTTTTTCAAAATGTATAGTTTGAGACAAGGTTTCACAGGTCACTAAACTGCCCTGACTGGCCTCAAACTGACATTCTTCCTGTCTCAGCCTCCTGAGTATCTTGAATTATAGGTGTGGGAAAGACTTACTCTTCTCTGTTATCTCAGATAGAGCATAACATGGTACCCAGAACATAAGATAGATAGTGAGGTTAAGCTCAACTGTCTATGTTATAGGGTAATAATATCATTAAGCTTCTCTTCTGGAGAGTTAACCACCTAAGTTCGCAGACCAAAAATTAGAGAAAAAGAAGGGCTGCAAGGATAGACAATATTTTGGCCTTAGCTTTTCAAGGTCCGTAAGAACTCAGGGCATAAGAGAACCTGTACTATAACATCCTGTAACTCAGTGATGTCCCAAATTTTCTGATCAAGGAGATTATGGGGCCACAGAGGAAAGTGATCGATGATATAGAGTGCGCCAAAGGAGAGACACATGGAAAAAAACATTCTCTCAGGCTTTCACAGACAGAAAATTGGTTAAGCAATGGCCATGACTCATCCACATGGCTGACACTGACAAAGGATCTACAGACTCTGGTACAGGGTTTCAGGGTAAATCCTGAGGAGATTTGATTGACCTTGTCAGACACAAAAGTTACATTTCTTGTTATATAGGTCTTGCTTTATCTTAGTCTTAACCATCCAGCAGAAAAGTATAAAAACAAAGTATAGAAAGTAAAGCCATATTAATATGCTGAGCTGTAAAAGGCTCAAGTCAACAACTTCTGACATTGTCAGTCCTACAGATAACCCACTACTATTATGGACTACTGGACTGTATTGGAATATTTTGCTGAATTCACACACCTACAATATTTAAAATGGCAATGGAATATCCATCTCTGACAAAATTAAACAAAAAAGGGGATATAAATGAAGGACCATTTTGTATCTGCATATACAAAATAGTTAGGATAGATATTCAGCTACTTTCTCTTAATTCATTGAGAAGAAAGATTTGTACTAATAGTGTCTGGACAGGATATCATGTCTGCATCTTGTACTATGAATAACCACTACAAAGACAACAATACACAATGTACTAACTGTTGAAACTGTCCTATTCATTGCTTTTGAAACTGTCTCATTGCTATTTGTTTCTCAATAAAATTAATAAATAAAAAAATTTAAAAAAGAAATGCCCAATAAATGCCAACTGATTGACTTAAGTGAGCGGTTGGCATGTTTTTACACATATCCAACTTTCTGGCCCCTCTTAGGACCTAGCTATTGACAAAAGGTAGAAGCCAACTTCCTTTCTCAAAGCCCTCTGAGTCCCCAGATCCTTCAATCTAGTTCTAGTCTGCCAGCCCTTCTTAGTGGATCCCAAGACTTTCCTCCAGTGGCGTATCCATGATTAGATTGGCCTTTCCACTGGGGACTTTACTCAGAGGAAAGACCTTCAGGCTCCCTCTGGTGACACAGGCTGAAGCCCACGCTGCCTCACCTGCCACTCTAGGTTCTCTGCTCCTTTCTCCTGCCTCTTTCCATTTAGGCCTCAGTCATATCCTTCCTGGTGCAAGGCTTCCTGCTTGCCTCACACACTCTCTCTTCTCTACCTGAATCTTTCTCATTCTTCAAACACCCCTGCAGCCCTGTCGTGGCCCCAAAGCCTTCCCTGCCCCCCAGGACACAGGCGCCTCTCTCTCTCTCTCTCTCTCTCTCTCTCTCTCTCTCTCTCTCTCGTAGCTGACACACCCATTTGACACCTGGCATAGACTGCTCAGCACTGTCTCACGTTGACAGCAAAACATCTCTGCCGCCACTACAGGGCTCTGGAACCAGTGCTGCACTCGGAGTGAGAGGGTCTGTATTGGATTTGCACCCTGCCGCTTAAACTGTGTGACCCCAGGTATGTCACTTCACCTCTGAGTCTCAGCTTCCTCAACTATGACTCAGGGAAATCCAGTATCTCCAAAAACACTGAGTGGTGACAATAATTAATATATAGTATATATGTATCATATAAAATGAAGATTCTGCTACTTTGCTATGTGGGTAGCACAGGGTAAATGCTCAACAAAATTGTGTTGAAGAAACGAAAGATTGCAAGTGAACAAGCCAATACAAGGGTCTCGTAGTGTGGATGGCTCTGACCCACGACAGGGAGAAGAGCTTTTGCCTTCCATGCTTTGGGATCTCTGTACATAAAAACGCAGATGGTTCTGAGGAAGCCGCAGAGTGAAGTCCAGATGGAAGACACTGCCAGCGCAGCCTACGAAGACCTGTGGGTGAAGACTCACGCATGCACAGAGGGTTCAGGTTCTGGTCCTGTGGCGGGGTGGGGGGCAGGCAGCAGCCAGTACCTGCCGACTGTGTGTGGCTGCGCAGCACAGGGAGCACACAGATGCACGGGTTTGCTGGGAGGTGCTGGCTGAAATTAGCTAAATCTCATAAACACTAAATTCATGTCACAAATTGAGAGTCAGAGAAAACGCATTTCTAAACCATGTATTTGAAAAAAGTGCTTTATCAAGAGTTGACCTTGCACCTTGTTCCATCAGCAAACCCTGCTCTCCAGGGGAAGAAGCTCTCCAACCTATCAAGTACAAATGCATTCAATTTCTCTCTCTCTCTCTCTCTCTCTCTCTCTCTCTCTCTCTCTCTCTCGATGAGGCTGCAAACATGGGAATTGAGTTTGCAGATGCAAAATGTTTTGGCAGTCAGCCAGTTTCCCGTAACCTAGTTCCTCTCTGCTCTGCTTGCACCCAGGGTATCCTCGTAAAGGGTGCTCCTGAGCCCTGCATCTTCTGTCTTTCAGTCTTACACACACACACACACACACACACACACACACACGCACACGCACACGCGCACACACACACACACACAAGGACACATGGGAATACCTGAACCTGCTGGCTTCCAGCTCTGTGGTCTGAGGGAGGCCTACCTTCCTGGTGTGCCCCCCTCCGGTCAGGGGCACAGGGCACCACCCCTGGGTGGGGTGGCATGGCCTGGGGAGACTCACATTCTGCTTTGGCACAGATGAGGCAGGCGGTGGTGCAGTTGAAGAAGTTCAGGATCCCAGCCACAGCCACGCTGATGTCCGTGTTGCTGGGGTGCAGGTTCAGGGTGGTGAACCTCTGGAACTGGAACTTGACAAACTCCTCCGGGGCCACTTTGAAATGAGGGACCTGGCAGAAGGAACAGAAAGGGGCAGCAAGAAAGATCCAAAAGAGTGAGAAAGGAGCGCAGCAGGGGAGCCAGGCCATGGGGCTACAGGGCCCTGAGCACCTGGTCTGCAGAAGGAAGACATGGTGGTGTCTGCTACCGGAGCCAGGACGGGACAGCATTGGCCCAGAGACCCGAGTGACCATAATGTGGATTCTCAGCGCCAGGCTTGTGGCCCGGAAAAGGCCAAAGAATAGGTGTTTATTCTCAGAGGAAGTGGCTTGTGCTTGGCAGGGAGACAAATGGCCCTTGAAGGCATCCTCCCCAGACTGTTTTATTTGTAGTTCATAAATCAGAGTAGAGATGGCAGGGAGAGAAAAACACTACCTTGGGGACCAAAAGAGGAGCCCTCAGCCCAGCACAGGCAACAGGTGCGTGAACCAGCTCCCGGCAACGCTCCTGGGTGAACGCCAGGACTGGGCTGGATGTGTGCTGCGGGGAACTGTCACAGACGTTCCTGGGGGGAGGGAAGCAATGCCACCGGAGAAGCCACCGAGAGCACGGCTGATGGCGCCAGGTAAACAAACACCTGGTCCAGCTGCATTGTGGCAGTGTCAGCCTCCCTCGGCCTCTATTTACTGATGTCTCCAAGCGGCGCTGCCCTGCCTTCCGCCTCTCTTCTCTGAGGAAGAGATATTAACAGGCTGCCAGGGCTGCTTTATTGGTGGCTTAGGCTATTTGGTAGGTAATGGGAAAGTTAAAATGTAATAAGCTGCCATCCGCCTTGATTTTACTCCGCTGCTCTCAGAACGCCAGCCAGGTATTCGGCCAGGACAAAGCCGCGGCTGAGCGTGATTTTTTTTTTTTTTTTTTTTTACTGATGTGAAGCCAAGTAAGATTGAAGGTAGATGGCAAGAAGAGCCTCCTGGTGGCGAGTTACTTGGCTTCTAGAACAGACTATTCAGAAATGATTGCAGAAGTTTTCTTTGTCTGGCGTGGCCTACATCTTATGCTGCCAGGAGCCTGGGAAGCTGCTGTGATAGTTTCCGTAGGATTCTAGTTATTTATCCTTTTAAATTTTGGGGTGAAGCCAGTCAGAGACCAAAGCTCTTTTAAAATCAAGGTAGGACGAGAATAAAGATTTAGCAAAACCCAGGAAGAAAATTACTGAATTCAAGGAAGATTAACCCTTGAGCCATGGAGAGAGCTGTACTTTTTCCAGCACAGACTACCCAGTGCAGAACTGAAGAGAACTTGGCACGTTGTTGGAATGATGGCTCTGAACAGCGAAGCTGACCGGGCACATGTCATCAGGGGTGTTTCTTTTTGCTTGTATCCTGCATCCCGTATAATCAATCCAAAATGATGAACAAATGCCGTTGAAAGGAAAAGAGGTCACAAAATGGCAAGATGGATGGCAAGGCTGGGCAGGACAGGTACGAGCGGATTGAGCCATCTGAGCACCTCTGGCCACGGCTTCCCTCTTTGTGGGTTCCAAGAGCAGCTAAGCCCAGAGACCCTGCCCCCCAGCACCCTCAAAGGTGGGAGCCCTTGGAGATTCCTGAGAGCCAGCCAGGAGTTGGAGGGGGTGCCCTTTAGGAAAGTGAAGGGTATGTACCTTTTGTAGTGTACAGCTTCAGGATTTACCTCCAGGGCAAATCACTTAGCCTGTCTGCATATAGTGCTTTAAGGTGAAAACAACCACTGGGGGGCGGTCTTAGAGCTGTGGGCAGGTAAGACGAGATCCTGTGTGTGAAGGATGCTCTAACCCAGGACCCAGCATGCTCTAAGTGCTTGGTGATGTCTTTCCTTCTTTCCTCCCAACTCACTCCAAACAGGAATTCCTATAAAGTGCTGGGAGCCGCATGTGCAGGGGAGGGTGGCAGGGCTCTCTGAGAAAGGATGCCAGTAGGGGGTGGTCTCAGCACTGGGCCACTGGGAAAGCTGCTGGGGAATATGTCAGCTGTTTTGCCAGCCCAGGCGGGGACAGGTTGTCCCCTTCTGCCAATTCTCTCTTTTTGACAAAGATTAATCCATCATCGATTTACAATTTTAAATGTGTCCTGGGATGTCATTATGGAGGTGTGTAGGGGAGCAGCAAGGCAGAAAGCAGCCAGCCACAAGGGCTGCAGAGAGACGTTACGAGCATTCAAAGGACAGACTCCTTGGTGAGAACTCCCTTGCTTTTCCCTGAAGCTGGGGATCAGTGTAAGGCAGTTCAGCCTCATAAAATATTAACAGAAATGCATAATCTGAATGAGAGGAAGAGTTGCTCTGGAAGGAACATGACCAGACAAGGAAAGGGCCACCGTTTGCCTGCTCCCTGGGTGGGCTGGCTGGTTGGTCTAGGGTGCAGGGGCAAGCTTAGCTGAACAGGGTGACACTGCAAATCGAGGGCTCAGTCTGTGGCCTGAAATGTCCAACAGGCAAGGCCAAGAGAGCTGGCTGCAGTGAAATAGCTAGTCAATCCCAAGAGCAGGCCATTTTAGAGCGAGTTTGACAGGGAAGACAAGAAGGGATCAACAGGAGAATGCAGTGTGGGGGGAGAGACAGAGGAGACGAGAAGGGACCCAAACTCTTGGCGACTTCATTTGGCGAAGATCAGAGCCACTGTGGCAACAATGGCATGCGTAGACGCGAGGCGGCCCTCGGGCCTGGCAAAGGAGACTTAGGTTCGACACCAAGGCTCAGGCCCTGGGCCTCAGCCTGGGAGGTGCTGGAAGGGACTGCGGTGGGACAGAACCGCCTAGGAGCCTGCAAAGCTCAGGTGTTGTCCTCAGTAATGGCCAGAAGGCTCTGGGGCCTCTGCCTGTGGAGTGGAGCAGGACCAACCTCCAGTCAGGGCTGCAAGGCACTAGAGTATGCACATACCAAAGCTGAGAGGAGGCTCATGAAAGCAGGGATGATAAATCCTCTGCTTGAAGCCACACGGGCTCACCAAGGCTGCTGATTACAGAGAGGTGTGGGGCATGAGGGGTGGCTTCCTGGAGGACATGGGCTGGGCAGAAGCCAGCCTGCAGCTCCCTGCCTCTGCCGGCAGCTTGCTGAGGATGCGCTGGCCTGTCCGGCAGCAGTCTCTCTTCTATTTTCAGGAGTCAGACCCTCCAAAAACTAGAGCTTCTGAACCGTTAGTCCTCTAAGGGGAATGCAGGTTGGTGCTACTTCCCCACGCTCTTCCCTGGCCTCTCCTCAGCTCTGAACTTTATGTTTCTTAACCACCAAGCTGCACCCGCCACGTACAGACCTGACTAAAATGCTCCTGGAGCACAGATGTGCACAGGGACCACTGGTCCATGGCTTCCCTGGGACACAGCAACAGAAGGCCTGATGGACTCCAGGAAGGACTAGAAAGTTCCAACTTCTCCAAGGCAGAAGGCAGGGAGAGAGGACAGGGGCTATGGTTCTGAAACTTGCCCCTGTATTTTTTTCACCAAATTGAACTAGAAGACATGGCCTCCACATTTTGGGATTAGGGAGACTCTAGTCAGAGGTCACACCTGTGGAATAGCCTCCTAATAGCCTGGAGGAGTATGTGCTAAAATTGGAAAAAAGCAAAATAAAATCCTGCAAAATTATAAAACAGACCTTCAAACTTTATCTGTACGTGACACATACCAACACCTTCCTCCTGCATGAGCAGGCTGTCACTGAGCTGCCTACATGGGCTGAAACCTGAGGCTCTGCCCTCTGCCCTCTTGGCCCCCTCACCTCCCTCCCTGCCACCACCACGAGGCCACTGGAGGCACCTCTGTGAACCCTAAGACTCATGGGCTCAGATAACTAAGCTGTCAACATCTCCGGAGGCCCCTCCACCCATGTGGCTTGAAACAAAGCAAGGACCCAGCCAAGGGCCACTTCTCATCAGACCCCTGCAGCCCTTAAGAGCCCACGCTATACTTGTGCTCGGCCTGAGGCTGTTCTTCCAACCTGGTTCAGTACTCACCTCCTTCTCCCCACAGATGTTGCTGATGATGGAAGTGGAGGCAGGGCTGGACGACGGTCCCAGGACAGCAACTACTCCCTTGGGGAGGATCTGACACACTGCAGCCAGGGCAGAAAAAGAAACAGGGAATGCGTAAAGTGGGGGCTTGGGCCAGCAGCCCTGCCTGGGCCCTGGCGCTGTGACTTCTTTTTCACCCGCTGCTCCTCGCTTTCTCTCCACCCTTACCCCTTCCAACCCCTCTAAACTCAGTGTCTGCCCTTCTCTCCCTGGAGTACTGGGCTTTGGGACAGTTTTATTGGAGTTTATGGACAGTACTAAATGAGGAAACAACCCAGGTTATGACAACATACGGCCACAGCCAATAGCGTGTGTAAGGCATCTGGGTTGTCACTGAGGACAGAGGCTCATGGAGGGAGCCTGCAGCTTCCTGCTTGCTGCAGGGGTGGTGAGTGCCAGCTCCCATAACAGTGGCCCAGCCTTCAATGGTCTACCACCTCCAAGCATAAGGCTAACTGGGAGTGAGACAGGCTGGCAGGCTGGGACAGAGGTGGTGAGTGTGCTGCAGACTAAGAGGAGGAAGGCAGGCTTGGTTAAAGTCAAAAGGAATAGGAGAGAGGGAGAAGAGAGAAAGGAGGCAGAAGATAAAGAATGAAAAGCCCTTGTCTGCCTTACTTAGAGCTGGAGAGGACTGTCCTGGCCACCCACAGGCCCAAGGCCTTGCTCTTCCTCAGCTGGGAAGCTGCCCTCCCCCTACTCTGGACACTCACCCATCAAGGGTCACCTGACCTGCTCCTTCTCAGACCTCCTGCATTCTAAGGTAGAACTCGTCCTGCCTGGGGCTGTCAAGGTCCTCAGTTTGTACTTGTAACTGTGTCTGTGTGTTGCTTAGTTTTACTATGCTTCAAATCCTTTCCAGTAAAGACAAGAGCCACAGTTTCCTCCACGCTGCCACTTCTTATTTCTTTGGGGTACAGTGTTTTCCAGGCAGTAGGTGCCCAGTCCACATTTATTGAATGAATGCATGAAGGAACGGGACATGTGGTCAGAAAAGAAGGAAAGAATCTAAGATTTTTAAATGCCAGAGGCTGGAAAGGAAAGATGGGAAGGAAAGGGGGAGACACGAGCAGAGAGGGCAGGAGCTCATTCTCTGCACATACATGTGGACCTAGCCCCAGGGCACCACGGCTCAGAACACACAAAGTTCCCACTGCACACCGTGAAGTCTGTGGCTGCAAAACCCAAAGTGTGATCCATCCGCTTTCCCTGTATTCACTGTAGGGGTCAGGCACAACCATTTCTCAGGCCAGGAAACTGCGTGTCGGCAATGCCTGCATTGGGAGGCCACTGCAAAGTCACGCCTGCAGCCCGGCACTTTCTCTAGTGGCGGTCCTAACCACAGGCCTGCACAGCAAGGGATCTCCTGAGCAGGACACAGGTGGCACGATAGTTGCCAGAGTTCAAATCCCAGAACTGCAACATATCGTATGAACTGCAGATTTGTGAGGTCTTCTCTTAGCTTGTGGCTCAGCCAGGACTTCCCCACACCCTAAATCTCAGCTGACTGAGAGAATGTGGGCAAAGGGCATCGCAGGGGGGGTCTCATGAGCGCTAAGGGTCAGAGCCATCCCCAGGGCAGAGGTCAGGATGCCACACATCATGTCCAGAAATGGTCTGCAAAGTGCAAGCTGTTTCCACCAGAGTGACCCCATGACAACAGCAAGTTTCACTGCTTAACTCTTTTAATTCTGTACCCCATCCTGTCCCTGCAGCAGCACCCCACATCAAGCCTCCTGACCCCCACCCCTCAGCCCAGCCTCTCACAGATTGTCTTGTAGACACAGCTCCCCGCAGCCCTCCTTCACTCATCTACACTCGCAGTCTCCTAGAACACCCCCCTCCGCTGAAGCTGTGCTGTCCAAGGTCACCATGACCCACTACTGGTCCTCCTCCAGCTCCTCCAGCATTTGATGTTGCTGACTGCATTGTTCTTTAAATTCCACAGCACCACTTAGTCCTGACCCTCATCTAATTCTCTTATGCTTTTCTTTCCTGATTCTTCTTCCTTCTCCTGCCTGCTAGATTCAGGTTTTCCCTAGTCCTCCTCCCCTCCTAGGTGAGCGCCCCTTTATCTCACATCTGCCCAGGTGACCCTGCACATTGACCTGTGTGTTGGGTTACAAAGCAAAGCCTGCCAGGTGTGGCCACGGGCATGTGCAGCGTCACCACGGCTGCAGCAGTGCAGTCACTGGAGGAGGGCTCCGATCCTGAGCTGCCTCGGTTTGCACCTCAGCACTCTTCCTTGCTAATCGTGAGAATGTGAAGCAGCTACTGAACCTCCCTGGGCCTGTTTAGTCACCTACAAAACCAAGTCTGTAACAGCACCTCTCTCACAGGGATGTGGTGAGGATGAAAATGATTTCCTATGAACAAGTGCTACGAACTGAATCTCACATGTGCACAGCCCTTCTTACTACTCCTGCTGCACCCTATTTGCTATGTCTCACACTCTACTTTGAGCTTACATTTCTATAAGTGAGATTCATTTATACCTCTACTTTATGGAGAAACTGAGACTTAGAAAACATAGGTAACTGGTTCAAACTTGCACTAGTAATACATGGTAGAACTGGATTTCACCATGAAGATCTACTTGTACCCAGATCCATGCCCTTACCCATTCTACTCCATTCCCCTTGGCTTCCCAAGGTCAAAGCCCTGGGGGCATCTGCCCCATCCACTCGCTGCTGAGCCAGGGGACTGACTCTGCCCACCTCAGCCATTCCCGTCCTGTCCCCTTCCTGCTCCGTGGTCCCATCAGCCCCTTTACCACCTGTGTTACCAAGGCATCTCACTCTGCTTCCAGGATTCTCATCCTCCAACCCTTTCTCCAATCTGTGAGGCATATTGTAACCCTGGAATACTGATGTGCACGGGCCTCTACTGCAGAGAGCTTGTCTAATTTATCTCGGTATTGTCCCTCCTAAGCACAGGGCTCTATCCTGAGCTACGTGGTCAGCAGATTGCTATGGAGCCACACTAAAGCCGCCTACCCCTCCCATGGGATGCTGAAAGTGAGCCAACGTCTAATCCTAAGGGACCAGGTACATGGCATGTGGGCCACAGGCCCAAATGGAATATTACTTAGGCACTTAAAATGCTGAGGAGTAGTTTGTAATAGCATTAAAGTATTTATGCAACAGTACCCAGCTACAAAACCGCATGTGCATCTACATGGAGGCTAAAGCCAGGCAAATGCAGGAAACAGTGATGCTCTGAGGGCTGACGGGAAGAAGACGCGATTAGAGCAGCATTTACTGAGGGCTAATAACGGCCCATGCGAAGCGCTTTCCAGGAACCGGCTTACTTAACTCTAAAATCACGGCGATGAAATAGGTGCTGTTCCGGCCATCTTCATTCCACAGACACAAAAACAAGCAGAGAAGCGGAAGCACAGAGCGAAGAGTCAGCCACCCGGACCCTGGCTTCCAGGGCCAGCTCACCACCCACAGCCTCCTGCGGAGGACGGCAATTACGTGGCCCATCCCCGAGACTGCCTTGGCCACGGGGAGGCTGAGTGATTTCTTTCTTCTTCTTTCCATTACTTTCAATAATGAGCATGCATTCCCTTCAAATTGCATACGAAATACTGTGTCATAGCAAAAAGATCTGCTGCTGAGGACCAGAGCCCAGGTGGGTCTGATCGCCCCTAACCCTGCCCTCACCCCTTTACTACAAGGGTGTCACCTCCCAGGTCACACCTGCTCACCTAGAACGTGCTTCCTATCTTCCCGTCTGAGCCATTTCCAGATGGCCATCTCTGACTAGACCAGGGTTCTCCTGCTGCCTGGGGCTTGCGGGGGCCCCAGCTTAGGATTCTATGAGCATTTGGAGGGATTACATCACTATTTTCTCTCACCCCCAGCTGAAGGGTAGAATCTGCTTGCACCTCAGATGCAGACAATAAGTGACAGCACATTAACAGTATCTGCAGCCCTCCCATCACAGAAGTCACGGAAGTTTTCCCATCACATTACAGAGCTGTAGATAGCTTAAAATGTCATTTACATTCTTTCCACTTATCCTAGTAGTGAGACCCAATGCTGGGCTTGACTATCTAATATGTTGATAAAGAAGCTCAGATATTTATATACCAATATTGAAATAGTTCAGCTGCATTTCTATCCAACTGGTTTCCACAATCATTTGACTCATTTTGTATTATCCTGTCTGAAATATTTTTCTTTCTTTTTTTTTTTTAAATATTTCTCTAAGCAGTGGCCCTTTAGTATCCTCAGTATACCGCAGGTTAGATCCTGTCTTGTATTTCTGCCTACCAAACTCCTATTGATCCTCCAGCACCCAGATCAGATCTTGACCCTAGCTGAGAAGGCATTTCCTATTCAAATTGCGCAGTCTTGAGAAGACAGGGAAATTTCCTCTCAGTCAAAAGGCGACCGTCGAGCAGCTCCTGGAGTAGCAGACCACAGTGGGGTGCTGCAAAGCAACGCAGGGTCCTCCCCTGAATCTAATTTCCTAGTCAGCTACTACCCCAAAGGGGCTCACGATGTTGGCTCTCCAAAGAAGAAAGTTTCACCTAAAAATGAATTCTTACAAAAATGTGTTCTTCATCAAGTTCATTTGGTGGCAAAATAGCGAACAGACAGATGTATAGCTGTTCATTGGTTAAGCATATCTAATCCAAAAACCTAAAATCTAAAATGCTCTGAAATCTGAATTTTTTTTATTTTTTTTGGGGGGGGGCACTGACATAATGTTCAAAATGTTTTGGATTTGGGGTCTTTCCAGATTTCAGAGTTTTGTATTAGTAATGTTTAACCAGTAAAGTCTATGCAAATATATTTTTAAAAACCCTCTGAAATTATAAGCATACTGCTTGTCCTCAGCATTTCAGATGAATGACAACCAGTCTGTACAATGTGTGAATGTAAGAATGTGAGCATTCTTGTTTATTACTCAGTACATGGTGTAGGAGCTGCATAATCTTTCCAATGTCTCCACACTTCCGTATTCTGAACACAGGAGCCCTGGGGATTTGCAGACCTGGGGCTGCCCTTCAGGGCTCCTCTCACATGCATCC